TCAGTTATTGCTACTAACTATAGTTAATATTAAAGAAAATTATCAGTAGAAATATTAGCCAGCTGTCTGTTTATCTCTATTTAAGCAACGGATCTAGTCCATAAAATCCCATTATCTAAGAGAATGCCTAATGGCAATATTGGATGTGAAATTTAAAACATTTATGAAAATTTAGTCCTCCTCTACCTTATCGAGATGCAAGAAATTACCGGCAGAACATGTATACGCTTTGCATGGCCTGTTGTGGATCTGTGAGTCCATCCGTATCTGGGCGTTCATGAAACACATAGAAGGCGTTCTCTTTTCCAAATTGGAACTAATCGAATTCGTTTTGTTACGAAATTTCATTATGGAACTAGTCAGAATGGTACTTAATTTGCAGTAGCTACTACCGGAACTTTATGTATACAGCCCATAGCGTTCCTACGCGGGGTGAAAACCGCAAGGAAAGTGAACTGACCTCCGACGTTTGCATTGCCTATAGATATAACAACGTGCGATACCTTATACATATTATAAAATTTCATATTTGAGCTTCAAAGGTGCATTACACGCGTCCCTGAAACATGTGACGCAATAAAATACATCTGGGTTAACTTCCATAACGTCAAGGACTGTACAGTCAATAGATAGGAAAAATATATTGCATCAAAAACAATCACTTCAGTGAAAGCGTAACAGCTGTGATACCAGCAAATAGAAAATCGTGTCCAAAAGTAAAAGCATTAGCGTATTTGCTGTTGCCGATATATGTACCCATCTCTGAAAAAGCAACAATTCGATTTATTGTATCACTTATAAATAAACAAATAATAACTAGACACGTTTGATCACATGTGATGTCAAGCAAGTGATTTGCTGGCACTAACTTAACGTTTGCTCCCTTCAGGTAGACATTGTCCGAATTGGATATGAATTTTCTTCCGGCTAGCGTTTGACTTGGATGTTTCCTGTACCGGCATGTCTCTCTCCTATTGTTCCTCTTCTCTCTGCAGCCTTTATCGGTAACTTTATCAATAATAAAATAGCATATATAAGAGTAATACCTAGAACTCAATAAGTATATTCAAATTAAATGAATCGATATATTCCTTGGGCCCTGCAAATGGAATAAAGGACTCTTTGAATTGTTTGCGTGCATGCTATATTTAATTGATTTTTTTTTGTCCTAAGCGTTGTACGCTAGATTATTTTGTTCATAATATTTAGGCAATTCCACAAAAGTATATATGGCTCAAAAAAGAAACGTACCCATGTAGCCTGGTAATAGTGTGATATTTACTTGATTTGTTATATGGATTGTTTGCACGACAATTAGGGTATTACCTGTCGACTGTCAACTGTAGCCGATAGCTACATTATTGCTCTGGCAATAGAAATACAAATCATCGAAACGCTCTCTTTTCCCATTCCCTATAGTTGTCTCGTTAGAGACAAGCTCAAGTGCTTTTCTCGCTACGAAACGGCTCCACTGCTTTCATTTTCGCTAAATGCGTTGCCTATCACATCCATAATCTTCTATTCAACTTCGTTCATTTGAACGACGTTATTTCTAGTTTATATAAGACTTAGTTCAGCCGATAACTTGCAATATTTGCATAATGAAAATAACAAAATTATAGCGCGGGGTACATTATCCATTTTCAAATCACTGATATATTTTCAGGTTATTTGGGGAAGCTTATGTAGGGCATTATTACACGACAGAATTAGGTCGCTCAGTATCAGTGGACTGCCTGGCAGACTATTATATATATATATATATATATATATATATATATATCCCTGACCAACATTTTCGAGAAACCGTATTTCGCTTAGATTTTTACCGTTACCTACAAACCATTTCAATTGACGATCTGTTCCACAATTCACCAGCTGGGTTCCTGCCTAACTTAATTTTTCACTAATGACAGCAGCTGATGCTTGGGTCGCCGTATTTGTTGAATGATATACAAATAAGAAAGAGGAATAATATAGAAAGAAGCCATGAAAGGAGTCGTACTAGTAGAAACGAATTCTATTATCTACATTGTGCTCATGCCCCTGTCGTTCTTCACGTATCGGCCGGCCGGGTCACTGTAATACCTCATTCTATAGTCACCGTCATGTAAACTGTACGTTACTTTTCCTGTGGCATTTCCATCATCATTTCCGTCGCCAGACAGCAGTGGCATCCGTGACTGGGTGTACATCAGTGGTGTGTTCAGCCCGCTTCATAAAATTGTTATATCGTTTCAAGTAACAGCGTCTTGGCTGCGTTCCAACCCTACATTGATTCGATTCATTAATCCATTGACTCATTCACGTATTCGTACGATCTGTTCTTTATTCCGGTGCGAGCAGTTCATTCCGCGCAACAAACGAGACCAATGGTAATGTTGCGCAAAATGATATGAATGACACCATTCAATGGCGTCTGCACCATGGTGAAGGTGTTTATGTGGGCGTGTATGGGTGCACGACTCTCTTTAGCTGCGCACGTATCAGGTCCCAACCTCTGCCTATGATACAGTCGAACGCATTTAGAGTAACTTCTTGTAGGGTGTACAGCCACAAAGCATTTGACTATTTGCCTGTTTGTGTTAGTGTGCCTGTGTAAGTGCAGATCTGTTAGGTAACATCCTACAAGGATCTGTCAGACTGAACTGAAGAAAAGGCTCAAAAACACTGGAAAACCGTGAGACCAGAAGCTGAACCAGAAAAGTTCAAGTTAAACTTGTGTTGTTCCATCAGTGCCGCTGCTGCATCTGTGGCAGCGTACCTGGCATGACAAGTTGATGCGCAACGTATTTTCGTGCGCTTCATCACCATCTCAAATCACACATGCAGATTGTATATATTCTATTACTGCTATGAAGAAAAAGGATAGCAGACCGGCGAGGTCTCGGTAACTTGCCATACCATCAACTGTTGTCTGACCAACCGATACAATTTACGGTGTCCACGTGTGGATAGCGACATAGCGGCCATCCCAACCAGTTAGCTTTTTCATTGCTAGCATAATGATCATCATCAACATTAGCGAAATCACCGCCATCAGCATCGTTATTGAGACCATTAAATTACTACAATTACTACGAGCATAACAACTATCATTTCTATACAGTTCGCTAAGATACTGCAGTAATTTCATCCTCGTCACTGACTCACCAGCGGCAGTACCGACTCGTTCCTTTCAGATTACTGCGTACTACGTTAGACGCTACGATCATTCATTCGCTCATTTATAGATAAAGAGATAGGGGTAACGTTGAACGGATTTGACGATGGGGCATCCCTCCGTCGCTGAAAATTTTGTACCCATGTGCTGCTGTTTCAACGGCGGCACGTTCTTCAACGCCATCGACAGCATCATAAGATTGGATTGTACATGCGAACGTCAGGGGGGAAGGGGGTGTTCAGCTGTTTGATTAGACGAACGAATCAATGAATAGCGCCTGTTGTATATTGAGCTGAGAGGCGGACACAACATATCGTCCATCGGGTCGGTGGATCCGTTTGGCCATATCCACTTGCTGCACAAAACATTCGTCTATGGCTTCTGGCCTGCACAGGAACGTGTTTGTTTGTGTGTGTGTGTTGAAGTTTGTATTATCTTTGCTTGGCAAGTGCATCCGGCCGTCTATGAAGGGATACTGGGTACATATTAGCAGGATGACGATGCCTTTAGGTAGGTATTGGGGGCGCCAGGCACTACGTATGCTGATGATGATGCTTTGACGGGACGGCTAATGGTCCAGCAAGCGATGCCGGTTCCCCGCGTTTTCAAATATGAGCTAAGAAGGAAAACACGATGGATGTGATAGCGACCGTGGACATCCAAGGGGGTTCGCGAGAAAGCGGTGACTGTCCATGAAACATCAAAGCAAGTCGGTTGCGAACGTCAGCGTTCAACAGGTCTAACTGTCGATGCGCAGGGAGCAGGCAGTCAACCGTGTCGTAGCGGCGTCACCACCACTATAGCCCTTCCTGTTGCCCGACGCGTTCGCGGCGCTAATGATCTATGCTGGCACCGGCGTCAAACCCATCGCCAGCGCTGGCTGTCTTCATCGTTAAATGTTGTGTTGCAGAGGTGTAGCGTATACGCAGTGATTCCACCGGTAAAATCCTGCAATCTTGGCGCATCGTGGCTGTTAGCTCGATGCCGGTAGTAGCCGCTGTTTATCCAAAGACTCTCCCTGTTATTTGCCGCCAAAGACAGGGCGAAAAATGAAAAAAAAAAAAAAAAAACGGGAGGAAGCCAGGAGAGAGGGAATGTATTGCTAGCCGAACCTTTTAGCGGGGCACCCTGTTACCATTGGCCCCTGCATATCATCACCGGCCCCCATGGATGAGAGGGAAGACCTAACCGACCGCCACGCGGCCAGCGGTACCGACGATTTGAATGGCGTTTGCAATTGATGCTTCTGCCCTGTTGTTTGCTGTTGCATTGCGCATCGGCGAGAATCGGTTACCTGCTTGCAACCTGGATGATTCTTCTTCTCGGCTGCCATCAATAACCATACGGTGTGTTGTTGTTCGCTGCCTGCTTTGGTTCCGTTCCGTCCCCTCAATGGACCCCGAAACGTCGTCTGCTGGCAAAATTCTGCAGCGGCTACTGAACTGCTCCTCTTGCAACTGCCCCTCGGCGGGCAATCGGTAAGCAGGTGAACCGCGTTCTTCTCGCCGAGTAAATGTTAATAAACTATAAAAGTGGCCGCCGCTACCTCGCCGGGGCAGTCGGACAGCAGTCGCACTGCTGCGCGGAGAACACGAAATCAATAGGTAGATGACAAGACAGGAATTGAACCGTTGCCACTATTAGCGGTGACATTAGTGTGAAGGTGTCAGTGACGTGGTATACCGAAGGGTCGCACGTATCATACAAGGCAAACATTTGCTTACGCGGAGTAACAGTCTCTTGTGAGCCGAATTGAACGGTGACGTGTTACTGATTAGTTTTCGTCTTGTTTGGAAACTTCTTTCGAGCTGATTAAGCTTTCGTTTTGTTGGACAAGATGAAATTTGTCGCAGTGCTAATTGTGGGAACGGCAGTGATCAACCAGGCCTGTGCGGGACCCATTTGGGATCGTGCTAAAAAAATGTTCGGCTGGGATAAGCCCGAAGACTATAACCAGAATGTCGCTTTTGCTCCGCACTATCACAGTGGTGGTGGATCTCATAGATACACTGCCAATGGACCATCACCGAAGGGATCGCACTACGGCCCTCCTGGTCCGCCACCACCATCTCCGCCACGTGGCCCATATCCTCCTGGTTATGATTTGGGTCCTACCCCATACGGTTCTCGACCTGACTTGCAGCACGCTTCGAGCGCTCCCTATGGATCATATGCGGCACCTTCATATGCTGGGCCATCGTATGCTAAACCGCCTCAAAGACCATCTGCCTACTCGAACGGTTTCGCAGGTCTTCAGGGTCCAATGACTGCTGCTTCTCCTTACATTTCCAATGGTGGGTCCGGGCCGTTCAACTCGTTAGGCGGTGACGGGCTACCAGATTACGGAGCACATTTTGCAGGTAATAATTACGGTGGACTATTCTCGGTCGTCGATCAGACAAGCCAAATCGGACAGCTAGCCAATGGTGACCTTGCCGCCTCACCATCGGAGCCGTACGCTAGCAATGAAGACGTAATGAAGTCCCTTCTTAAAATGGTCGATAAACCGTTTGACCTTGAGACCGCAGCTTCGGGAAATCATTATTTTAGTCAAAAACCTCAGCTAGCTATCAATCCTGGTCCACATCCGATAATGGAGCCTGATCGCAATGTGATTCGTTACCGCACGTCACCAATTCAGATCGGCGTGGCCGATTCCTACTCGCAGCAGCACGCCAGTGGCCGGACTGCATCTGGCCTCCACTCCACGGCGCCTGGTCACCAAACGACGTTCGACGCTGCTGCGGCCTACAGAGGAACCACTACGTATGGAGATTCTGCGTTTTCAACCAGTGCGCGTGGAAGCTCTTATGGAGGAGACCTTCATGCCGCGGCTAGTACAGCACATAAGGGGAGTGCCGTATCAAAGCCCACGCGCTAAGAAGGATTATTGGAGCAGTTTCCATGATACAAGCCGAATCACTCCGGCATATGCCGAAAATCATATTTTCGCATTATGCTAAATTCCAGTAGTAGCAAAAGCAGATACGATTACGTCACAGTTAGTGCTAGTTAGAGGTATGAGGTCGAGAATGCATAAATGAAAATTTCTTTTGCAGAGTTAAGTACATTGATGTGTTTGTGATGCTGTGGGTTGCACCAGCTGCCATTTTCCATATCTTCAATTCACTTCTTAGAAACCTCTCCTTATCAGCAGTTCTGCCTGGATTTCAGACAACTTTGAGTGAAAGAGTCTTATGAGTATAATATCGTTGACTCCTATATATGACATGTAAGATTCATCTATGTATTGTTCAAGGCTCTTTAAGCTGTTCCCTCTGCTGCAAACAACGCGTTCGATAGGTAGTTTGCACGTGTTTAGACGATGATTTCGTCCTTGCGCTGCTCGTGGCTCGTATCAGGGATGAACATCTTTGCATGCCGCATGTTGCTTATCTCTTAACTTGGCTGTAGGTTTTTAGCCCTCGTGCAATTGGTCTTATCTTAGAAGCTTTTCTAAATTCAAGTTTTCTCTACTAGTAGAGTATTTTTTTTCTCATTTCTCCACTTGTTTCCCTATTCAATTTCCTCGCCAATACAGGTATTTCCTTTACTAAAAAGATTCAGGGTGAATATTGCTAGTTGTTCTTGGTAGTCTCTCAGCTCATTTATTGACACATATCTCTTAAATGTGCATAGCCTAAGTTATGAATACTATATTTCCTTTACAACTTTAGTCATGTCTCAACTGTTTCATGTTGTCCTATTGCTTCTATCGATGTTTGTAAATCGTTTTCTTCAAATTGTTTCACAAAAAAATCCCCCTCAACCTGATCTCCAACACAGTTATGAACTTTATATTCTTCTATCATTATCTGTACTTTTCAGTTTCGCTCGGCTAAAACTGCCCTTATCTTGTATGGCTAATCTAGCTTTTGCTTAGCCACAGAACTGTTACCGGTGGTAATATATAGTCGTACGGGCTCACTGCATTTCCTAATACCGATAGTATCATGGATTTCCCTTGTATCATTGCTATATTCGTGCGTTATTACCTTTGTTAGTGTTCTGTTACTCACCTAGTCACGTGTGCCATTTGATTATAACAATTAGCTCGCGCCTGCCATGATCGATCCCTATAATCAGTACGTGATTTTCTACGTAGTGTAAAAAGTATGTATTTATCTGCCTATGTTGTCACCAGCGTCCCATCCACGTTCTCTATAATGTATATGCCTAGTGTCAATAATCTAATGTAATGCCGTCCTTTTTCCACCAGACGGGCCCTCCTCGTGAAGCTGATATTATTAATGCAACTGAGAGACGACGAGGTAACAGACAGCTTCATTTGCGAAACATGACCATTATTGGGATGAATAGTTGTTATTAGTATGACATTGTGGGTGAACGAAGAATTTTTGGCTGATTTTTTTAGCTCGAAATCCGTTGCCAGGAACAGGCACGATCGTAGCAGTAATTAGCGTAGGCGTATTACTATAAATAGTATTTTAATTAGGCTATGGTTTTTGCAGCTGGAATACCCATATTGTCGTAGTATTATCACTACTATAGCTGCTGGCGGACGATATTGGCGTCAGGACATCGGCAACGTAAGCAGTGGCAATAGCAACCGCAGGTTGCTGGCCTATATACCGGTCGTTGACGGGATGGTCAGATGTTCGCGCTGCGAAAAGGGACAATGATTGAAAAATGAGGAAAAACGCCGATATTGTGGTAATGTTTTTTCTTTCTTTTGTATTGAAGCCTCGTGCAGGTCCTGCTGCCATTTCACTACCACTATCCATGTTCCCACTACCATCGATCACAAGGCTATTTCGTGCTTCTTACTTTGTCACTTCTATTAACAAACTGGTTGCCAGCTCATTAACTTATTCGATTTTTTCTTCTGTTGGTTCATGATGGGGTGCGAGAGGCGCGAGTGACAACGGCGTTCTTTTCATGAGGCCGTCAAGCTTGACAAAGATGAGGACAAAGGCGGTTAGGCAATAACAATTATGCTGTTGTCAATGATCGCCTGCGCCATTGTCGGTCGATGCGCGTCTGTGTTCGTATATTTAATTTACATACATTCTTTAACAATCGCAAGCATGCGCGTCTGTGTGCGTATGCCGCTTAGTCCTCTGCGGAAAACTCTCTGCTTTTAGTGGGCGATGACGATCGTATACTGATATACTGGACATGCTGCTGATGTCGTTGCTGACGCTGCTGATGGAAAGACAATAGAAACAAATAAAATAGTAGCGGCAATAGCGTACTGACAGGAGCGTTACCTTTGTTACGATGTCGTCATACAATATTGCTGGTGTTGTTGTGATTTGACGAAGGTAACAAAAAAGGCAACAACCTTAGTAGCAAACAGTTCGAAATAAGGACAAGCTGCGCACGCATAAATCTATCCCTTTAGATATCCTTCAGATAATTGGAGAAGGGTTTTTTCTTTTCACTAGTTGGCATTTCGCACAAAACTTGAAAGATGTTTTTGGAGTTGAGACAGAAAATGGTAGTAATTAACTTGTAGCAATTTGACGCATCCTACGAAGACAACGCATCCATTAACGGTAAATGTCATTTCTGCTGTGGACTTTTCTGGCCGCGTCCAACGGCACATAACATTATCCGACAATGAAGTCCTTCTACAACGTGTTCCACCCCAGTGTCGCTGCTTTGCGCAATCAAACGCTTTCATCGTTTTCTCAACGATGTAATTGTTACCTCTTTCTCAGCTGATCAAATGACCACCCACTGAATGAAATGCCATTGCAGCGGGTAATGCCGCGATCAACAGCGAAGCTATTTTGGTGAGCTACTCCTCTCTCATATTCGATGCGGTTCGCTTGCTGGGTCTGAAAATGTTGCGGCAGCGACCAGCTAGAAGCGAAATAACTATTTGACGAAGGCGAAGTTCCGCTCGTTTTTTAGCCTTCCGCCGAATAACCGATCCCGTTTTCGCTCAGCTGATTGGGCACCGCTCATGCTATTGTCGATGACGACTGCTAAAATGTACAGCAGACGATGCCGCTCAAAGTGTAGTGTCAACAAAATCCAACGTTAAACAAGATACATTCAAGTGTAACGAAAATGTAGCTACGACCGTCAGACTCCAGTAACGGACGATGCGTCCCGCTGTGCCGTTCGTCGCCGATAACGGGAAGACATTCTATCGGAATTGCTTGTCCAGCTAGATCTGAACACGATCGTGATCGACCAACAAGCACCCTACACGATAATAGAAACCGCACTCCACCATCACCACCGATTCTAAGGGAAAACCGAGTCCCATTCAGAAGATCATAACGATAGCAGAAACAGCTGCGTTAGAATTCACAGTAATGTGATAGGAGTGAAAATACCCGTAAAATATAACCCTAGTAGTAAAAGCGGTTGGTCTTTACCAACCCTCCAACAACAACGACAACGTCAATCGATAGACAAGTCCGATCGATGGGCGTCATCATGTAATCAGTTGCGCGAATGAAGATGGATCGAGCGAGGGATTGAGAGCAAATGAAAGAGCTGGCAAAAGGTTCGCGCTCGCGCAATGGCCTGCCCACATACGTGGCTAATGTTAGCAATGTGACTTCTTAGGGTATACAATATTTGCAAGGAACACACAAACGCAAATACCCCCCCCCCCCCCCCCAACCTGTGTGTTGGTGCTTTTTTTTTGGCTGTGGATAACGCGATGATGATATTGATTTACTGGTGACGAACCAGGTGATCAATGCTTATTTAGTTTCTTTTTTGTCTTCTAGTCTCAGTCTTTTTCAATAGCTGCATACAGTTTGCAAAAGCTTTTTTTGAAAAATGTTTAGCTTGAGCTTTCGTTGTTATTTTCCATGATTTCGCATGATTTGAATTACAAACCACATGCCCTCGTCTTTCCTTTGTACGTCTGCAAAACAAATTCCCGATGTGCCTCTTCCTTTTTATACATATAGCCTTCTATTTCTCCCTATGTTAACCTTTTTTTTACCTTTACTATTCATTTTGCTGGAGACCGTCTATCTAAACTTTGTTGAGATAAAGGTGCGTGTTGCACCTCGATCACCGATAGCAAGCTGAAAACTAACAGAACCCGCATCGAAACAAATGCTGCTTTGTACTGGATACCAGCTGGTCCTGATGAAGTTGGTGTGGTTGATAAAGCAGGCTAGAGCTTCGCCAACTGCTATTGCTGCTGCGGTTCTGTCACGAAGACAATGAGCGTGAGGCGTCAGTATAGAGACGGGGAAAGCCATCGATAGCTAAGTAAGCCACTACAGACGAAGCAAGGAACGACACCATTCAGTATGCATAGTATTCGACAGAAAACTGGCCTGCCTGTCTACCTGACCGTAATATTTCTCCCGTCGCCACCGGTTTCTGGACTAGCAGCACGTAGGCCAATAACCATGAAGCGGCACCATGAAATCAGCCGGTGACCGTTTACTTTCGTTGCACTAGCTATCAAACACTGCCACTAAACACCGAAAGACCGTAACACTGCTGCTGTTGCTGATGCCGAAATCGGCCACAGCCGCTCGGAAGTTAGCCTCTATAGTTCAGTTTGTCTCACTTGTTTCTGTGAAGCCATTACTGCGCCCATTGTCATAATCACGAACAGCTTCCGTTATTTTCCCTTAAACTAGCCTTCGTACGTTAATTTTCCTAAGTTATTCTTACTTTTTTTTCTTTTCTATCGGCCCTTCTGACTATTTAAATACTTATTTTTCTCTGGTTTTTTTTATACACGCATAGTCTACCCTGTCATCGTCTTATAGTGACCGTACCTTTGCTAATGCTTTCTGCTTACGTTGCTGGTCCATTCTATGTTTCACCCTACATCTGGGGTTTCCTCGTTTAGTCTGGTTTCTCGAGGGGCATGTTGTTATAGTTGGGTTGGTTTGTTGAGTTTGGGTCGTCGTTTTTGTCGCGTTGGAG